AGCGCCTGGGTGGTTCAGTCGGTTAAGCGTCTGCCTTTGGCTCAGGTCACAATCGGGATCAAACCCCGCATTGGGCTCCCTGCTCCATGGGGAACCTGCTTCTCCCTCTGCTGCTCCCCCTGCTTGTGTTCCCTCTCTCGCTGTCAAATAACTAAATAAAATTTTAAAAAATAAAAATAAAAAGAATATTTTCATCCTCCCAAAAGGAAACCCTGTCTCCTTAGCAGGTATTCCCCATTTCTCCCCGCCCCAGCTCCAGGCCACCACAATATGCTTGCTGTTTCTCTGCATTTGCCCATTCTACCCATTTTGTCTCAACAGGATCACACACTACAGGGTCTTTTGTCACTGGCTTTTTTCGTGCAGCCTACTTTCAAGATGCGGCATGAATTAATACTTTATTGTCTTTTGTTGTGGAATAATATTCTATTGTGTGACTATAGCACGTTTTGTTTATCAGTTCCTCATTTGCTAGACATTTCCACATTTTGGCTATTATGGATAATGCTACTACGAACATTTGTGTATATGTTCTCTATTCTCTTGGTACATACCTAGGAATGGAATCATTGGTTCCTGTGGTAACTCTATTTAACATTTTGAAGAACTGATAAACTTTTTTTTTAAGTATTTTTTTTTTAAGATTTACTTATTTATTTTAGAGAGAGTGTGAGCGAGCGGGGAAAGGGGTGTGGAGCAGAGGCAGAGGGAGGGAGAGAATCTGAAGCTGACTCCCCGTTGAGGACAGAGCCTGACATGGGGCTCGGTCCCACAACTGTGAGATCATAACCTGAGCTGAAATCAAGAGTCAGGCGCTTAACTGACTGAACCACCCAGACGCCCCTCTGATAAACTTGTTTTAAAGTGGCTGCTTCATTTTACTGTCCCACGAGCCATATATAAGGGCCTCGACTTCTCCACTCCTCACCAACACTGTTATTGTCTGATTGTGGTCATTTCAGGGGGTGTGAAATGGTACCTTTCTGATTTTTATTTGCATTTCCCTCTGTACCCACATTGATGTGTCTGGGTATAAAATTTTTTTTTAAGATTTTATTTATTTATTTGAGAGAGAGAATGAGAGATAGAGAGCACGGGAGGGAAGAGGGTCAGAGGGAGAAGCAGACTCCCCGTCGAGCAGGGAGCCCGATGTGGGACTCGATCCCGGGACTCCAGGATCATGACCTGAGCCGAAGGCAGTCGCTTAACCAACTGAGCCACCCAGGCGCCCTGGGTATAAAATTTTTATCCACATTCTTTATTGCTTTCAGTTGGAAGGCTCTTGTGTGCCTCCAACTTTGGGGAACTTTCTTGTTTTATTTCAGTGATTATTTCCTCCCCTTTATTATCCATTCTCTCTAGCTCTGGAATACTCGATGGGTTTTTGGATCTATCCTCTGAGTTTAAAAACTTTTCTTTAATATGTTTGACTTCTTTTCTTCTCATCTTTATTCTTGCGGAGTTCATCAGTGTGGTAATTTACACTGCAAATGTCTTCTTTCAGGAGATACATTCTGCTGTCTGGCCAGTATACTGAGCTTTTTTTCCATTCAGGTATTTTTTTTTTAAAGATTTATTTATTTATTTGACAGAGAGAAACACAGCGAGAGAGGGAACACAATCAGGGGGAGTGGGAGAGGGAGAAGCAGGCTCCCCGCTGAGCAGGGAGCCCGGCCCCAGGACCCTGGGATCATGACCTGAGCCGAAGGCAGACGCTTAACGACTGAGCCACCCAGGCTCCCTCCATTCAAGTTTTAATAACAACTCATTTAATGATTCCATCTAATGTTTTAACGTGATGATTGAAGATAAGGGGCTGAGACTTGAGTGTTGTTTACATTAAGATATTTGTTTCAAAATCAAAAATACAATTTTTCTAAGGATGATAACCTTATATAGAATGTAAAATCCAGATCTTGTGTTTGGCTTGAAATCATTCTTTTGGGGGCACCGGGGTGGCTCAGTCAGTGAAGCGTCTGCCTTCAGCTCAGGTCATGATCTCAGGGTCCTGGGTTTGAGCCCTGAGTTGGGCTTCCTGCTCAGCAGGGAATCTACTTCTCCTTGTGCACCCCCATGCTCTCTCCTTCTCTTTCTTTCTCTCTCTCAAATAAATAAATAAAATCTTTAAAAAAAAAAAAAGAATGTTAAATAACTGTATCACTTGGGGATGACTTCACTTACAAATAATAGCTCTAATAATAAAGCCCGTGATGTTTCTCCTGTAGGACACCTGGGGAAGACAGTCCTGGGCTAGCACAGCTCTTGAGGGGTGCCATGAAAGACTCTGGGTCTTTCCAGGGTTCTACTCTGCCATACTTCACAAGTTGGTTTTCTGTCTCACACATGTTGCCTCATGGCTCAAGGTGGCTACTGCCAAGTACTCAAGTATATGTCTGCTTTAAAAGCAGGGAGAGGGACACCTGGGTGGCCCAGTTGGTTAAGTGTCCAACTCTTAGTTTCGCTCAGGTCATGATCTCAGGGTCATGGATCAGGCCCTACATCAGGATTCACGCTCAGCGCAGAATCTGCTTAACACTCCCTCTCGCTCTCCCTCTGCCCCTCCCCCTGCTCGCTCTCTCTCTAAAATAAATAAATAAATCTTTTTAAAAATAATAAAAAATAGGGGCGCCTGGTTGGCTCAGTCGTTAAGCGTCTGCCTTTCGCTCGGGTCATGATCCCAGGGTCCGGGGATCAAGCCCCGCATTGGGCTCCCTGCTCAGCCAGGAGCCTGCTTCTCCCTCTGCTGCTCCCCCTGCTTGTGTTCCCTATCTAGCTGTCTCTCTCTGTGTGTCAGATAAATAAATAAATATTTAAAAAATAATAATAATAAATAAAAGCAGGGAGAATAGTAGAGCAGAGGGTACTATCAGTATCTCTCTCTTTTATCAAAGAAGCAGTAGCTTCCCCCAGATGGCCCTCGCACACTTCCTAGATCCCGCTGCCAGCACACAGTCACAGGACTAACTCTAGATTTAAGAGAGACAGAAGGACAAAGGGAACGGTTGTGATTTGTTACCGGGAACGGGGTGTATTTGCACCCCTCATACAATTGAGGTTAGCAGACAGAAGGAGAAGAGCTATTCTGAAGACTGCTAGTGGCTCATACCCCAGGGCCCTTACATCTCTCTTTCATTATCCAAAACCCGTTGGTTCAGAGTTACTAGGAGCATGTTCTTTCAGGGATCATTGTCATTTGAGGATGTGGCTGTGGACTTCACGCGGGAGGAGTGGCAGCTGCTGGACTCTGCTCAGAAGACTCTGTACAGAAATGTGACGTTGGAGAACTTGAGCAGCCTTGTGTCACTAGGTAAGGACACATCCTGTGTGGACTCGGCCCAGTCAGCTATCTTTTCCTGTTCGTTTACTGAAAAATGGGACCTGTGAACTGTGTAATGACTTAGGGCTTTAGTTTAAGAATTCAAAAATTCTTAGCCCTTCTTTGTCTTCAGAGTGTTTGTCCATGTGCATCCCAAATGAAAGACCTCATTCACAGCCTCTGAAGCTAAGCATTTGTTTGTTCTTTAGAAGCCTGAAGCCCAAGAAATTGGGCTCAAGTCCTGTGTGATTTTCCATACACAGGGTTTCAACTTATCAGACCAGATGTGATCTTCAGACTGGAGCAGGAGAAGCCACGGGTAATCAGTGAAGACATCCCCAGTCAGAGCTTTTCAGGTGAGTCACTGGGAGGCAGGGGGATTGGAATGCCCTTTGAAGCGAACAGTGAAGACAGTGAAGGGTGGGCACCTTCACAATGTTGTTGAGAGAATTCTCAAAGTCACTAAACCTTTGGAAGTGACTTAGAACCATTGAGATGGGGACGCCTGGGTGGCTCAGTCGTTAAGCATCTGCCTTTGGCTCAGGTCATGATCCCAGGGTCCTGGGATCGAGTCCCGCATTGGGCTCCCTGCTTGGCGGGAAGCCTGCTTCTCCCTCTGCCACTCGCCCTGCTTGTGTTGTCTCTCTCGCTCTCTCTCTCTCTCTGTCAAGTAAATAAAAAATAAATCTTAAAAAAAAAAAAGAACCATTGAGATAAACTTCTCAGATACACAGGTAGATATCTATCACTTATCCATGTGAGGGTAATCTGTCCTTTGCTTTGATTTCAGAGTGAGCTAGCTTCTCTGGTCTGTACTAAGGAGCTCAGCCCCCCTTTCTCACATCAGACTTCATACTTCATTTTCCTCTCCACACCACAAACCTTATCCTGCTGATAGGTCCCTTTTCTTTTCTCTTGGACACAGGAGTCATTGTCATTTTTCCCCTCTCACTGTTCTAATTCCCACATATTTTCCTTCCCTTTTGACTGGTAAATGCCTCAGATTACTATTGTATACCCACAGTCATTTCCTCTATTCTCTCCTTGATTTCTTTTATGATAATTTACTCTTTCTGTTCCCATAACCAAAGGAATAACTCTGGTGTCATCATTCCCTGCCTCCTAGTGCAGTTTTTTATTGCCTTGTCGTAGAGTTGAGTGTGTGTGCAAATGAAACCCTTTGCCTGGGACAGATTATTATATCATTGCTTCTAACAACCTATTTAGTCAATGTGGGTTTTTTTCTTCTCCTTATCTATTATTGGTTTTTTACCTCAGTTTTCATGAACACACTTTATTTAATTTTAATTCCCAAACATGTACTGGTGTGTGTGATTATTTCTACAGTTCTCGTTCATCTGGTTCACAGTTATTGAAGAATTCACAAAATGTGTTTGATTGTTCTCTTTTCTAGAATACTGGAAAGTTGATGATTACAAAGCATGGCACCAAGAAATTCAAGACAGGATTAAAAAATTGGAACAAGTCCGTGAAACGAATGTAAGTGGAAAAATATTTCAGTCTGGCATGAACCTTGCACCTTTAAAGCAAAAGCCCAATAAGCATGTCTCAAATGGAAAACATTTGAAATACTCGTTAGATTTATTTACTCAGACTGGAAACTGTGGAAGAAAGCAAGCTGGTAAGGGCAATGGATATGAGAAATCTTTTCTCCATACTGAACATGAACAAACTCATGTTGGATTAAAATACTATGAATGTAGTGAATGTGGAAAAGTCATCAGCAAGAAGTCACGACTCATTGTCCATCAGAGAACACACACAGGAGAGAAACCATTCAAATGCAGTGGATGTGGCAAAGCCTTTTCCCAGAAGTCACACCTTGTTACACATCAGACAGTTCACACGGGAGAAAAACTTTATGGATGTGAGTGTGGGAAGGCCTTCTCTAGAAAGTCACACCTTATCACACATCAGAGAACTCACACGGGAGAGAAACCGTATGAATGCAGCGACTGTGGGAAAGTGTTCTCTCAGACATCACAGCTCATCATTCATCAGCGAAGTCACACGGGAGAGAAACCCTATGCCTGTGGTGAATGTGGGAAAGCCTTCAGTGGGAAATCACAACTTATTACTCATAAGAGAACCCATATAGATGAAAAGCCCAACAAATGCAGTGAATGTGGCAAAGCCTTCAGAGAGAAGTCAAGTCTCAATAAACATCAGAGAATTCATTCAGGAGAGAAACCCTATGGATGCAGTGAGTGTGGGAAAGCCTTCAGTGGGAAGTCACTGCTCATTAGACATCAGAAAACTCATTCAGGAGAAAAGCCCTATGGATGCAATGAGTGTACAAAAGCATTTATTTGGAAGTCACAGCTCATCATACACCAGCGGACTCACACAGGAGAGAAGCCCTATGGGTGTGGTGAATGCGGGAAGGCCTTCTCCCAGAAGTCACACCTCATCATACATCAGAGAACTCATAGAACAGAAACCCTAGAAACAGAGTGAATGTGAGAAACTTTGAAGAAAATAATCGCCCTTCTCTCTACATCCTAAAACGCATTTATAGAAATTCCCTGAAGGCCGTGAGTATAGGAAAGTCATTGGCAGGAAGTTCTACTTCCTTAAACATCAGAATGCCAAATGGGAGAGTGGGCCTATGTGTGCAGTGAACGCGGCAAAGACTGTAGAAAAAAGCACTCAGCAAATAGTCTAGTCTCGTTGTAAATCAAATTATTCATATTGAGGACAAAAATAATGATTTAAAAGAATATAGAAAAACTTTGTCCATAGAAACGTTAAAAAAATCAATTTCCAACTCTGGTATTGCATCTTTTAAAGAAAAGGTTATTCAATTTTAAATAATAAGCATATGAAACCTTAAAGATATGTATCTGTACATATAAATATATATAAATATATATATATGTTCATAATGATGACAGCCAAGTAAAAAGCCTGCTGCTTCAGAGGAACATAGGGCTTATATTCCTGAGTATGCCTACATGTTATAAATTTATATATTTTCATAGCACATGTGAAGTTAATCTGTGAACATGGTGTATGTCATGTTTATGACGCAGCATCTGTCAAGAGTGCTACACAGTGGATACGTTTGTTTGTACCATAATGGTAGAAGATAAGCTGCACCAAATGATGTATTTATTATTTAACAAACAGTTTAAGATATATTGCCAGATATTTTTGGCACACGTAAATGAGTTTGAGAGCTCTTACCTGCTCTGCCTTCAGTAGTAGAAGCTGGACTTTTTCAGTAAAGTTGTCTGCCTCCTCTGCGTCACCAGTTTATATACAGAACTGTTGTTCATATTAGACATGCAAAGGCAAGAATACACGTTAACATATAACTGAGTGAGCAACAGAAAAGCCCTGAATTGCATCACTCATCATCTAAATATATGAGAAATGGGGTTTGAGAAAATAAAAGACCCACAAAGCATATCCTCCTGTTATTTTCTCAGTGGGATTTCTGTACAGATTAGTTGTACATGGGTTGAATATAATAGATCCAAGAAACTGTATTTTAGGTTAATATGTTAAGACATCATGTAATACTGTTCTCTGTATCAATCTTTTAATGTTTTCCTAAAGTACTTTGCAAATAATTAGAAGAAACTCTATTTAAAAAAAAACATGTAGTTCTGTAAGGTTACATGCAGAGACTTTTTGCTAGGAGAATTAGGATTTTTGATAATTTGATTCAGACATCTTGTACAGATGAGGCTTTAGAAATCAAGTTACCTTATTGTTTGTAAAAGAAATTTTTAATGTACAAGAGACCTTGCAATGCACAAGGTATTATCTTGCTTTTAAATATGCCAACTTTAAGTTTAATTTTTAAATAACGTGTCTTGAAAATGCCAAAACCCTTTCTTGAATGTTGGTGAAATTCAGAGGTTTGCATCACACCCAAATGTGTGATTTTCTTTTGTTGCCAACACAAGAAACTTGTCTTTGTTGAAACCATCTATTATGCATGTTACCTGTACCTCCGTTTAGAATTTTTTAGTACTTCCTCTCCTTGATAATGCCTGACAATGTCAGATTTCTTTCCTGAATGGTTATAACATTCAAACTTACGGAAAAATGACTGTTTTCATCAGAGAAAGGGAGATTTGTGGACAGTAGTCTTTATGTTGCATATCCAATGGCAAATGTTATTTGTATACGGGGTTGTATCAAAATTAAAGTTAGGACCTAGGTTAGCAAAGTATTGCTTTGGGGGGATGACCTTGACCCCCAATTTCTTATGCAACCCGTACGGGGAGGTCTTCATTATTCCCAAGTGTCCTGTGAGAGCTTGTCTGATTTACCAATCAGGGTCCAAGCTTGGGCACAACAGCTACTCTAAGTGAAGCTGAGCGAATTGCAGTTGATTAAAGAGGTAGTAGGAGAGCTGAGAAGCCAGAGGGGGTAGAGCTGTAAGTATTCATATGCAGTTTCTACTCCCCATTCTTGCAACCTTGACTGCCTCTGGGTCCGAGGGCTTAATCCTCAAGGGAAGAAGGCTCCTATCAAACGTTACAACAGTTCCTTGATGCTGTTTTGAGCATCTTGTGCCGGTGAATCAACCATCAGAGAAGGAGGTTACTATTACTACTGGGGTTTTAAATCCACAGAACTAAGGAATTGCTGGCACACATTTGGGGCCAGGTGGACTCTGTATGGAGCCTCTTAGTATTTCCATTATGATTGTGAGTTCCGCTGGGAGACTAAAGCACCCTAATAAGGATAGGACTACTAGAAATTCAGTCTTCAGTAATGAAGATTGGGTTTCCCCACAAGTAAAGAACCTTGACCCACCAATACCTTGCTAATGGCAGGCATAATATGAAACACGTGGTTATTTAAAAAAAAGTTTTATGGTGGGTGCAGAGGTGAATATACCTGCTATGTATATTTTTGTTGTGTTTCAACAAATTTTCCTTCCCTATTTTTTTTAAAGATTTTATTTATTTATTTGACAGAGAGACAGAGACGGAACACAAGCAGGGGGAGTGGGAGAGGGAGAAGCAGACTCCCCGCTGAGCAGGGAGCCCGATGTGGGGCTTGATCCCAGGATCCTGAGATCGTGACCTGAGCCGAAGGCAGACGCTTAATGACTGAGCCACCCCGGCGCCCCTCCTTCCCTATTTTTTGTTTTGAATTGGAACATTGGTGAGGATTGGTTTTATAATTTAGTTCACAGGTCATGAGATCAAGAAAAGTCACATTGGGGGCGCCTGGGTGGTTCAGTCAGTTAAGCGTCTCCCTTCGACTCAGGTCATGATCTCAGGGTCCCGGGTTGGAGCCCCATGTCGGGCTCCCTGCCCAGCGGGGAGTCTGCTTCTGCTTCTCCCTCTGCCCCTTCCTGTTGCTCGAGGGCTCTCTCTCTTTCTCAGATAAATAAATAAATAAATAAATAAATAAATAAATAAATAATAACTAACTAACTAACTAACTAACTAACTAACTAACTTAAAAGTCCAGAAGGATATAAAGTTTTGGGGAAATCTTACAAACAAACCTGACCTAATGGACATTATAAGCCTCTACACATAAAATCTGCAGAATGCACATTTTTTTTCTTTTTTTTAAGATTTTATTTATTTATTTGACAGAGACACAGCGAGAGAGGGAACACAAGCAGGGGGAGTGGGGGAGGGAGAAGCAGGCTTCCTGCTGAGCAGGGAGCCCAATGCGGGGCTCGATCCCAGGACCCTGGGACCATGACCTGAGCCGAAGGCAGACGCCCCTGCATATTTTTTTTCAAGTGTCTGTAAAACATTCACAAATACAGACCATGTGTAATGCCATAAATCAGGTCTCCATAGGTGAAAATCCTAGGATATGTTCTCAATAATAATAGATATAAAAATAATAAGTCTGGAAAATGCTCAAATATTTGAAAATTAGGCTATATGCTTATAAATAACACAAAATGAATAAATCAAAGGGGAATAAGAAGGTAGTTTGGACTAAAGGATAAGAAAAAAACATTACAGTTCAAGAGAGGCAGCTGAAGCTTTGTGAAAGGGAAACATAGCTCTTCAATGCTTATATGAGGAAAGAAGGAAAGTCTGATATGAATGATTTAAGCCTCTACCTTATAGAACTTCAGAAAGAGCAAATTAAATCCAAAGTAGAAGGTAGGAAATAAGAAAGATAAAAGTGGAAATTAATAAAATAGGAAACAAAAATATAATCAGTTCTTTGAAATTATAAAGTGGATAAACCCCAGCTAGAGCGATCAAGAAAATAGAAACTCATATTACGCGTGGCAGGGATGATAGAGTTTTCCTTACAGATCTTGAAGATATTAAAAGGTAAATAGAGGGCGCCTGGGTGGCTCAGCTGGTTAAGCGTCTGCCTTCGGCTCAGGTTATGATCCCAGGGTCCTGGGATTGAGCCCGCATCAGGCTCCCTGCTGGGTGGGGAATCTGCTTCTCCCTCTATCCCTCCCCCCACTCATGTCTCTCTCTCACTCACTCACTCACTCAAAAATAAATACGATAAAATCTTTAAAAAATGAAAACAAAAAATAGAATAGTGTGAATTTCTTAAAATTGGAAAACAAGGATTAAATTTGAAAAAATTCTTCATAAATATGGGGTATATAATACTTTTATTTTTGTGGAAATAAAAGAATATTAATATGTAACTTGAAAGCATCCATCCTTTTTTCAAATGTTCATTAATTTATTTAATCAGAAAACTTTGAATATTATAGCCTAATATGGCCTATCATAACAATTTCCTGTGATTTCAAGATGTGCTCAGAGCATTCAACAAAGAGTAATCTCATTCAGGATGGTTGATTTCAAGAGGCTGTGAATGTCTTATACTCCACTTTTTTCTAAATTCTCTCTACTTCTATGTGATTTGAGTGTGAACCCTCATAGTTACTTTAGTTTCTATACATGTACATGCAGTCTAGTGATTATAAAATATGATCAAATTAAAATGTGAAATTCACTGAATAGCTCTGAAATATTTTCATGTGCTTATTTATAAACAGGACAACTGTCTAATCTCTGTTCCCAAAAGACACTGAGATTAAAACAATTACCAAACAAGGTGAAGGATTGTGGCGCCTGGGTGGCTCAGTTGGTTGGGCGACTGCCTTCGGCTCAGGTCAAGATCCTGGAGTCCTGGGATCGAGTCCCACATCGGGCTCCCTGCTCAGCGGGGAGTCTGCTTCTCCCTCTGACCCTCCCCCCTCTCATGTGCTCACTCTCTCTCTCAAATAAATAAATAAAATCTTAAAAAAAGTATTTCCTTTAAAAAAAAAACAAGGTGAAGGATTTTACTCTATAAAATCTATAAATATGAGACTCTGCATCCTTATTGTGAGAACTGATTTCAAAAGCCTGAGATTATCTTCCTGATGGCTTTTAGGAGTCTGGGGCTACATTACAAGAACTAATTAATGCAAAAGTTTCATACTGACAAATCGTGTGGCTGCACCCCAGCCGACTGTAAGCCAGTGGTAGGTGATGGTCCAGTGAGACCAAAATGACCCGGAGAGGGTCATCGAGACACAGACTGCCTGGGGAACCTGCACGCAGGGAGTCCAGGAGCGACCAAATGCTGCTAGGATCTACATGCAGCAAGCTTTTATAGCAACTAAACTACAACTTTCTGGACCCTTCCCCTCCTCTTCCTTCCAAGGGAGATGCTCCAGCTTGGCCACCTCCAGAGCCCCTGATCTTGAGCCCTGAACATCATGTTTTTCTACATATCCTGCCTGATGGAATTATAGAGGGAGGTTGGGATCTCTGCATTCTCAAGATAGTGATTAACGGGCATTCAGGGTGTGCTCGCACAAACAGCTATCCAGCACGTACCATATACAAACCGCTTTGCATGTCCTTGCTGTATACATGAGAATACAATTAACGTGGCTGTACACTATCATGGAACAACCCACAAATCATCTTTTGTAACTTGTACATCCAACAAGTAATAAATGTATCATTCCCATATAATTTTAATTATTGGTAGTATTCATGATGAAATACTTTACTTCTTTACACATAATTATCTACTTACAATTATTTTCTTTATGTATAAAATAGAACACTTATTTACATATGTGGGGTTTTTTTAAGATTTTATTTATTTATTTGAGAGAGAATGAGATAGAGAGCATGAGAGGGGGGAGGGTCAGAGGGAGAAGCAGACTCCCCGCTGAGCAGGGAGCCCGATGCGGGACTCAATTCCGGGACTCCAGGATCATGACCTGAGCCGAAGGCAGTCGCCCAACCAACTGAGCCACCCAAGTGCCCTACATATGTGTTTTTTTTTTTTAAGATTTATTTAGATCTCACGACCCTGAGATCATGACCTGAACTGAAATCAAGAGTTGGAAGCTCAACAAACCGAGGCACCCAGGTGCCCCCAGTTTTCAAGCTTTAAATGGTGTGTTACATTCCAATGTATACTTTTCCTTCACATAATTGTGCAGTGTTAACTGTTTGGGAAGACTTTCCCAAACAAGTGTGCATGCATTTGCCCAGTTAGAACATTTATGACCTTCCCCTTAATTCTTACCACAAATATAGGGCAAAGAAATTCTACTATGCAGTTGATAAACTGGTGATCATATAATAGTTTTATAAAGTTGGTTAATGAATTGCTCAGGAGCAGTAAAACGCTGTAAAATGTGTCCAGGTCATTGAGTCAGCCGCATTCCTCTTTGTGGGATCCACTTGACAACAACGATGGAGGTGCAGTGATTCATCTAATTTGTATGGGCCACAGGTTTGCCTACATGTGGGGCTGCGGCAAAGAGGAGCTTTCATCTGTGTTGTGTGACTGAGCTCAGCATTAAGAGTTGTGGGAAGACAGGCCCTGAGTTAGAATTTAAAACATAAATGATTTTTTTTC